ATGTAATAGAGGAGAGAAATAGCTCATTCCTTAACTACTTCCTACACAAACAAAACACTTCCAAACATGAAATATAAAAACCAGGTTGAGAATTTACTCTTAATCCATATTGCTTACGGGAATTATATATTGTTAAAACACATACATAATAAAAATGATATAGTCAAATTTAAGGAGAATAATGACATAAAATACCAAATTAACTGTTCCAAATTGTGTCTTCCATTCTGGATAGTAACTAGTCTACTTAGAAAGAACAAAAACATAACGAAACAGAAATCCCAAAGTAACATCTTCAATATATCTTGTCCACATCTCTTTCACGGAAGACAAGTAAAGATTTCTTTGAAAAGTCCTTCACATCTTCCAAGTATTTATATTTCAACTCATGTAACATGGAAGTATTTTTTGTTATCATTAATAGCTATAATATTTTGTTTAAATACTCTTCTTGTTTTTTGAAAACTTTGGGAGTCAATAACACAATCATGGTGAGTTCCATAGTTTAATTATGTATCATGTAAAACTACATTAGAGGTGCTGTATTCCAGAAGTCATTGCTTGGTAACAACACAAAACAGAATTTTAAAAAGTCACACTATAAAGGCTTTCTTCATAATTATTTCTATTTCCTTTTCTGCAGACTTGCCCTTTTACAAAGTGGATTGCTTAGAAGTAAGGACAATATCTGAATGTGGGGTTTCTTTACCTCAAAAAGAGCACTAAAACCTCAGTTAAACTCTTCCTGCCTTTAACTATTGCGTGGAAAAAAGTGGGAGATGTGAAAACTATGAATGTGTGAGGACAATTTTGCATTTTTATCCCTATTTCTGTGATTTTATCCTATGGCCTACAGGCTGCAAGTGGCTTTTTGCTTTTGAAGTAAGGAGACAATGAGAATTTAAATCTTTGATGGTAAATGCTAATATGTTATCCTTATTTGAATAAAAGATTTCAAGCTGAAAAATGTTTGCATGCTTTTAACATATAAGTTAGTACAGTTATCCATTGCTATACATGTATAATGTATTTGCACTCAGAAAAAATTATGTTGGAAGCCTGAAATTTGATCTTTGTATGGCATGATCTTGTCCTATGTAGAAAGATGGGTATACCTGTAAAAGGCAGAAGGATTGTTGCCTGAATTTTTTTCCACGAGAATGGCAGAAAGGACATCAACTTATCTCACAAAATTATTATTAGTTAGTTTGGTCAAATCTTATGAAAACTTGCATACTGAATACTGGATCATATTAAGTTTCAGCAGATAGGGATTTTCTTATAATTGTAATACAAAGCCGGGAAACAGTAAAGTTGATTCCTGTTCCAATTTCTTCTCAAACTTCTTTATGAACATGGAAGAATTCCTTTTCTTTACTAATTTTAGGACATGAAACAGCAATTCAAATCTTCAGTTCCGACTAAAGTTTTTTTTCAAGTTATCACCTTTGTCATCAGATTTTACATTCTAATTGGATAAAGCAATTATGTGGAACTAATATTCATGGATTATATATTGATAGTCTAAAACAAAAGCTACCTCCTTTGAACTTTCAACTTGGTATTCACATCCAGTGGAAAATATCAGCAACTAAATGGTGAAGTTTTAAATTATACGGCATATTTTTTTTCATTCTCATACAAACAGCATAGAATAAGATTTACAGAGTCAATGTTCACAACTATGGTTTGAAAGAAAAAATACATAGCATACATAAAGAAATGTGAGAAGTGTTTATATATTGTCTCGTATTCCAAGATATATTTACAGCATTTATTTTTCTTGAAAGTTTTTTTGATAGGGAAATACAGAGCTGCATTTCCAGAAAAGAGTAGATGGAAATGGTATAAAACATTTTAAAAATAAGTAAATTTGCGACCCTCGTGTGTGTGTTTCATGTAGAAACATTTACAGACCTTATCAAGACATATGTGCAATAGCTGCCTTTATGTTCCACTTACCTATTTCCAGGTTTCTAATCTCTACCAGACTAAATTATGCTCACATTTCTTGGATCACAAACATCCTTGAATCACTAAAATTCACTGTAAAAGCTGAAAAAAACACTAACTGCTTTTATATTTTTAAACTGTTAAAAGATTGCATTTTTTTCAAAGGCAAGGATAATTATCTACTGCGATGAGTAACTGAGATTACTCTTTTTACTCTTTGCTTCTTCTGATCCGCATTCCTAAGTCATGCAAAACAAAATGAAAAAAAAAAAGGCAAGCATTTCTAGAAAATGTCTTAATCTGGTCAATTTAAGCTTCTACGGCTTTGGTCCACAGAAGCTTTATTAGTTTCCTGTGCTCCATAGTGGGATAAACTATTTCATGCATGAAGGGATCAGCATTCCTTCTTCTAATCATTGCTACTGTGCCCATTACAAAGCTCTCAAAACATCTCCTATGGATATCACATGGTATCTCAATAACTCCTCAATTAATAACTTTATACTCATATTTTGGTTCTGCTACTTCTATATACATCACTTGAGGATGATCCTGAAGCCATAACTTCATGTAGGGTGAGATTGTAGTAATTTTCCCACTGCAAATACATTCTTACACTGAAAGTGTCCAGACAGCAGTTACCAGTGAGAAAGCATCACAGCTTAATACAACAGGCAATCCCTTCACAGAACCATGGTAGATGTTGGTGTCCTGTCTATTGTGACCACCCTGTAACTTTACAGAAGCAGAAGACACTTTGCTATGTGCTTTGATAAGTAATGTGGTAGCTGACACTGTTTACATGAGAAGCATCAGAAATCTCTGCTAGCACCAGCTAAAACTTTAATTCCCGAAAGCTACTTTTTAAAAGTCTGGGTTTGCTGGTTTCTGTATGTAAAATAGGTGGACTCAAAGAGGAAAGTAAGCCAACAATTTTTGCTGTAATGTATTAATATTTTAACTCCATTGCTAGCAGACCTGACCTTTCTCCTCAAACAGTAGCACTAGTCAGCTTCCTGCCTCACTTTTTGAAGATGATGGGCATTAAATGTTAAGGGAAATAGACTGACATCATGCTGATTTTTCTCAATTGCACAGGAAAATACAAGTAATAGGTGAAGATTCTCACAGGGAGAAAGGCATAGTGTTACCAAATTCACTCACAATGTATTTTCAGTTAAGTTATCCTCCTCTTGATATTATATTAACTCATGTAATCTGAAATCCTACTGGGAGAGAGAAATAACTAACTATATTAAGCTTTTTAAAAGCTTCCCCTTAACTCTATTCAATCAGTCTTCAATCTTCCAGGAATATCTAAATTCCAAAATATACATACTGTATGGTTTGATAAACAGCATGCACTGCTGGATACAGGCAGCACCAGAAATCTATGTGAAGTTTGCTATGCATTCCACCAGGACAAGCGTATAGATCAGTATTTGTCTTTTGCAGGTTTCCCATATATACTATATTCCTATATAGATAATGAATGTAAACTGACATACAAAATGCTTGTTTTCCTTAGCTACCTTCTATGGACCACTTTAGTTATAGTCCAAGTGCAGAAGAAAAACACAAGCCCAGATAACAGACAATAGCACAGTGCATCTACAACAGCAAAGCATTTATGTAGTAAGCATATATTCAATAAACTAAAGAAGAAAACTAATTAAATGTTTTAGCAAGGTGGAATCATCAGAATGGCAAGATGTGGGATTGAATAGTTCACCACAATTTATTTAGGGAAAGAAAAAAAATGTGCTGCCCAGTATCTGCTGGTTATGTTTGTGAAGGAAATCTGAAAAGCCATAGAAAGCATAACCAAGATGGAATATGTACGTACGTCATCAAATACAGAGCGGTACTTTCCTAATCATGGAAAGTGGACTTTGACAAAGAGATGAACATAGAAACGGCTCATACAAGGAACAAAACTTGGGCACAGAAAGAAAGGACTTCAGAAGGAAGAGAATGCTTTTACAGCCCTTAAAATAAATGCTCTGAAAAAAACATATTTGTAAGTGAAAAAGATGACAATCTACAAGCAACAAAAAGCATGAAGAGAATTATACATCACCATAAAATTTGTCATGCAAATAACAGATTACAAGACAGAAAACCTAACTTTGAATTGGTATCCTTTCAAACTGGAAGAAATATAATTTTAGGATCGGAATACAGTTTAAGTAAGGTGCAGTCTCTGTTCAGAGATCAGATGCTTATAAGAATAGGGAATCCACAAGAATTAATACCATTAGTGACGGTATGTATCAATTACACCCACTGAGTGATTCTATGACATACTAATACTGTGGATGGAAGCTCTGGCAAAATGAAAACACTACAGACAGCTTGCAGGAATGGAATAATTATCAAAAACTCTTCGTAGCTATGGTCTGCAAAATGCCTAGATTGTTAAAAGGGTTTGAGTGAAATCACACAAAATACTACAGACAAAGAAAAGCCAAAATCGTAATACGTGACTACAGATATAAAGATTATTACTCTTGCGATACATATATATTATTATTATTATTATTATTTTATTATTATTATTATTGGTAAATACAAACACAAGTTGTTTTTGTCATCTGGTTTGCCTTAATCAAGAGCTAAAAATTCATTTATAACACTGTAAAGAAATGCCATGTTTATATCGATATCATATGCAGCTTGCAGGAAAAGGTATACATTAAAATTAAGAACAGCAATTCACATAATAGTTAAAGACAACCAATAATGAAACCACAAAATTCCAGTTGTCAAACATAATTTACTATGTATATTTCTTCTCTTCTCTGTTAAAACAGTAATTATTAAAACTAAAGTGATATGAGTGAATGTTTATGACTTCTTATTAAAACTCCTGACTTTAAACAGTGTTCATTTAAGCTTTAGGTTAAAGAAAATCATGTAGAGATTTCTGTGCGATGGCCTAGTGACTTTATATCCTCTTGTCAAACCTCAGCAGTTTTATTTGTAGTGATACATGCCGGAGAAGGTTGGAGGTTAAAGTTGATAGGAGGGCCAACAGGAAAGCCAACCAACTTCTTTCAAAAGATTACAACCTTTAACATATTATGATCTGTCGGCTAACTTTGTAAGTCTACATTTGTGTACTCTGCTGTGAACTGATCCCCAAACTCCAGACCAATAGGGCTCATAAATACCTCCCTCTTACTACTTTCCTTACATTATTTCTTCATAATGTTCCTACTGTTTAAGTTATTATTTTAGTTTTTGGTATTGCATTGATGTTTAGTGCTTATTGTTAGATTTCAGAAGAACATTTATAGGTAGATAAAATATCTTCCTAATTTTCTTTAGCCTAGTTTTCTCTTTCATCCTTAAAACTTAAGAGAGATTTTTTTAATCTAGTTAAACTAACATTAAATGTAAAACCACCAGTCTACTGAAATAAAGCTCTCTAGATTACCCTTTCTCCCACTTACTTCAACATTGATTACTCTGCAACTTCAAAAAAAAAAAAAGTAATACAGATAAAAATAATGATAAATAAAATAACATAGAAGCAAAAAGGGTATAAAAGGATCTTTAAAGGTCGTCTAGTCCTGATAGACAGGCAAGGTTGCTCAGGGCTTTATCCAGTAGGGTTTTCAATAGCTCCAGGGATGGAGACTGCACAACCTCTCCGAAGAGACTGCTTCAGTCTCACACAATGAAAAATTATTTTTCTTACATGTCAGTAAATTTTCCTGTATCTCAATCTGTGTCCATTACCTCCTATCCCCTCACTGGGCACCATGGAGAAAATCCTGGCTTCCATATTTTCATTTCTTCCCTTCAGATATTTACAGATATTAAAAAGGTCCTCCCTGATCTTGCTCTTCTCCACACTAAACAGCTGGAGGTCTCACAGCCTCTCTTCATATGAAAGATACTCCAATCCCTTCTTCATCTTCAAGGCCCTTCTTTGGATTTGCTAGAACTTACTCTCAGTACAATCATCCATCTTATACTTTATCTAGTCACTTAATTCAAAAGACCAAATCATTACACAGATCAAAACTAGTACTGATAGCAGCTTTACTTTTACTTGCACTGAAGATAGTACAAATTTTTCAACTGACTTCAAAAAGACTTAGATCTCTGCTGGTTAGATTAATTCTACTTTAAAAAAAGATGTGGATTTACTGTAGATGCCCATGATGGCCACATGATGCAGAAATGTGATGGTAATTTTTTTCAGTTGTATGCATTTGGTATCATTTAGAGAATAAACAACTTAGTAAACAACTTTTCTTCCAATATATCTGAAACATTTAACTTGCAGGTGTACTGAAACCAGTCCACAGTGACACATAATTGCAATCCTACAACTTTGCACTTTAAAATGAACAACTACTGCAGAATCTCTGCACTTAATATTATTGTTGCTGCATGAGACCAATATAACAGAAAAATCGATTATGCTTAACTTTTATATTTAATGAAAAGGTCAATACAGATCTAAATAAAATTTAAAAATTTTTAAGCGCCAGACTTGACTTTCAAGCTTCTTCCACTTCTCCCTGCTCCTTCATTGAAACCCTGGAGAACATTCAGCAAAGCAAAGATTCTGCATTCCATATTTCATAGCATTTAGCTATTGCTACAATTTTAATTATGCAAAACTCAATGGGCTCTAATAAAATCTGACTAATCTGACTAATACTCTAAAACAAACATTGTGAACTACTGAAAGCAACGTTATACACAAATTACCTCATGTCATAGAAAAGACCCATGCAGCACAATGTACTTCTTCATAGATAAAACAATATTCCATGATAACATCTTTTGTTTGTCTTCTCTGCAACTAACAACAGACTTAATATTTTTCATTCTTAAAAAACGTCAATTTATCTAATTTCAGTTCAGACACACTTGTGTATCATAGTAAAACCAGGGAGAGAATACTGTAGATGAGATACAAGAAATACATCAACAGCAAGGCACAATTTTGAACTATTGTTAGTTCAAATATTAACTATATGCACATTGATATGAACAAAAAGGACTATTCTAAGATTAAATTATATTTATACTTCATATTTCAGTTGCATTTATGTAATTCAGACATATATATATATATGCACTCTGAGGTAAGATCTACCTTACGGTGCAGACATTTTCCTGAGATTTACACATGAAGGGGATTCTCCCACCATGCCAATTCCACAGACCCAGGCTAAATTTGAGGTCTATTCAAGCCCAGGAGAGAGCAGAGGCTCAGCAGGTTAAGGGGTGTAGTGCTATTACATCTCATTGGTCTTGTGGCGATTAAATTTTTTAAAAATCTGCAAGCATGGGTATTAATTTTCAGAGCTGTACACGACAATTATACAGAGAAGGAGCAGAAAAACACAGGACACAAGAGGCAGTAATGTGAGCTTCTACAAATGGGGAAGTCTTCTTAGTAGTGAGAACACAGACTGGTCTCTCTAAACTTGTACCCCTGGACATTTTGCAGAGAAGATTTGAGTGGTAGTTTGACATGATTTGTGTTTTTCCGAGAATCCTATCCTTTACCTCCTTAACACTAGCGAAAAAATACCTGGAACTTTATGTTGTTTTTATAATGCTTTATGCCAAAGCACAGATAGTATTTCTGGATTCTTTTTCTCTTCCTTGATAACCCATAAATGGTGCTAAGAAAATTAAAGTTATGAGAAAGTCTGTGCTTAGGTTTACACTTTTGCTACAAGAAAATACATTTTTCATAACAGAGCATATTTTTATGTCTCTATCTGTAGTGTCTTTTACCTTGAGTTTTAAGAAAACCAGTTTAACCTTGCAATATTTTTATGCAATATCAGGCTTTTACAGGTGGTGAATTTTAAATACAGAAGCAACAAGTAATTTGCTTGAGAGTACAAATGAAATCAACAATGGAACAGATTCAAAGCTACATTTACAGCTGTTATAGCTTACCCTGTCCATTGTCTGGAGGCACATGCCTGAGAATCAGTTACTAAGAATCATTATGCATAACAATACAAATGAAGACCATTATTCTATCTTGACCATTTTACTACATGCATCATGAAACTCTCAGCTTGTACTGAGGCTAGGCATGCTAACTATTGGGCAAATACACAAGGAGCTAGAGTTTCCCCAGCAAGAAGATTAAGCTTTCATCCCTCCACTCATGCATACTCCTCTCTTGAATGTTGCATTTTGATGTAGTGGAATGATACAGAAAGTTTACTTCTTTTAATAAAGTGTTAGCAGTAAGAAGAGGTCTTTAAATACAGGAAATGTGATTTTTAACAAAAGAAATAAACACTACTGTGTGACAATAAGTTTTACTCAGTAAGAGCTTAGTGTGTCTACCAAAGTTTACAGAAGCTACTACAGAAAAACAGCCATCTCTGTATGAGTCATGGCAATAATGTTATAAAACCCCAACCACACAAAACTTTGGTAAGCAGACAACATTACCACTAGCAAAAAGCAAAGGAAGCAGACTCTACATTTGTCCTGAGCTTCTACTGAATTTACAGGCCCAACAGAAGTGATCAAAACTAATTATTCTGCAGAAGCCCATCAGTTTCAGATTAGAGAATGTAGTATATATATTCAGATAGTAGAGTATATTCTACAGAAACATTATCATACTGAGGAGTCCTACCACATCAGGAGAGATGAATGGAAAGAAATAGAAATAACCAGCAATGAAGAAAACAGAGGCATTTTTGTACACAACATTTGCCAGACATTTGTACATTTTTAGCCATCTTTCTCATATGTCCAGTGTTTTTTACAGGGGCCCTGCTATCCATTTGTGCTCCAGTTCAAGGTAGGTGAGCAAGCAGAAGAAAAACCCTTACTTTTCCTAAAAGAAAAACCACCAACTCTAAGAACAGGGATGTTTTCCATTTTCACGATCAGTCAGTTACAAAGTGAACACTGATATGAATTAACAATCCAAATTAAATTTATCCAAATTAAATTTATAAGAAGACCCTAAATATTGAAGTCACATTTTCATTATGAGCAAGTTTTATAATGTACTCGGATCAGTAATTGTAACTAAAAAAACTGATAGAGTTTTAGCATTTGCTGAAAATGCACTTTGGTGAAGCTGATTTATCTGTAGAACACCTTGCTACACAAAGACACCTTTCATACAGATTTGTTTGGTACTTAGCTACAACAAACAAACTGGTTAAAACCTATTAAAGTGTATGTACGAGAGTGAGAGAGAAAAAAAACTAACAAAAATTTTCTCAGGAAAGCACAAGGCTTTTGCACAGCAAAGGTGCAAAAATTTCAAAAAGACAGCAGTCAATGTTGTTTATAAACCAGCGCTGATCACGTGTAAGTTAAGTTGCTTCTAGTTTGCCAGAAGTGGTAAAACTTCATAATGCAGAGTAAGTGCTTGAATAAACTTTTCAACACACCACACAGCCAAAAATATTACAAGCAAATGTGATTTTTGAATCTGTGAGAAGAAAAAAAAGCAGAAGTCAGAACTATATGTCAAAATGTATTTCCACAGTATATAAGACAGGCAACTATGATGAAGGGAAACCTACAGAATCTGAAATAGCAACTGAACTTTTGCCAATATAGGAATTGTATTTTTCTGAGGATATGTTTCTGAGAACATAATTTTACATTAAGAAGCTAAACGTTTACCTTTTATGTTTTTTAAAAACCATCCTCGTTAAAAGCTAAAACTGAAGGAATCCAAACAAGTAAAATCACACAGTACAGAAAACATGAAATATCTCTAATGTGCTATTTACAGTCTGCGTTTTAAAAGCTGAAGGACTTACATTTACACACACAAAATAAAGCTATCACTGCTTTGTGGTCTGCAGAGTATTTTCAGTTATTTTTCCTTATCCTTGGAAACATATATTACTCTTAATCCAGAAGCATCCTGAAATTTTATAACATTTTGGATTTCTTTGAAATGAAAAGTCCATTTTATTGTTTTTTTAATTAAATCTACTTCCCCAAAAGGTCTTGAAAGGCTCTACAAACTACCTCGCATTTTATTATTGCTGACAGTTATCTAAACCACGCTTGAATGCCCTCTTTATCCTTTAGTGAGCAATTGAAAGATCATATGCTAAAAAGACTTGTGCTTTCTCTTCTTCTAGCCCTATAATTAAGGCATTTTAATACATTTCTTCATAGTCATTAAGAGAGCACAATGTTAAAAATTAATGAAATGAGACAATTTTGAGTTTAACAACCATAAATACACACAACATAAATTTGTCTCAATTGTAGATATGAAAAAAAGCCTTCTTGAAATCACATGACGAGATTACTGAATTGTCAAGATTTTTTCCTTTGCTGTCTAAGGGTATTTAAATGATGTATGGTAGCCTGACAATACTCCAGTGTTGTTACATTCCATACAAGAGAGGTAAACATTTCTGTCAAACATTCAAATTCCATTGGGTTTTTGTTTACCTTATATAGATGTCTATAAAAAAAGTAGTATTGCTGGATGATGCTGAAATGGGGGAGGAAAAAGGAAAGAGGAAGCAGGACAAAGGCATAAGAAGGGAAAAATGATCATAAGTCTATTGCAAAAAACCTGACATATAATGAGAAATACCACTATAATAACACCCACTTAGAGCAGTATGTTAAATAATGTTTATAACAGAATAAATAGGATTGTCTTAATTTGGATTTTTTTCCTAAGAAACAGAGATCATCATATTAATGTAACACGTATTTTTGCAACACAGTAATAAGTGAGTTTCTTTTGTTACATGGTGAAAGGAATTCAGTGCTTCTAAGTACATCATCATGACTTCTATATACACCAATTAAATATAGGGTGCAACTCTAGTACACATTAGTACTGAGTATTTCCAAAAAGACATTACAAATGAGAAAATTATACAGCTTGTCTTTTAAAACTAAGTTAAGTTTTTCAAGGCTTAAATTCTTTATGCATTCTCATCTTAATTTAAAAAGCTGCAGTGCAACATAGAGCAAGAAGGGAGGTTTTTTTATCTTAAGAAAGACAAAACTAAAAAAAAAAAGGAAGTTGCTCTCCAGAAGATTTTTTAGGGTTGTCAGACTGTTATATTATAAACAACCTTATTAGTCCTTTATAATTACAATAGGTACCTCTGGACAAGATCGAGCAGACATGACAAATGCTTCCGACTTCTTTTTAAATCGAACCTGGAAGGTCATCGCTGAACAAACAGAATGCTATATAACTGGGGCCATAAATTGTGAAAGCTAACAAAAAGGTAAGTTTTTTGTTATTAAAAATTAAAATTGTTCTGTTCAGATTTTTCTGTGTAAGATCTGGAAACAGGAGGATGAAATAGTTTAAAAAGATTAAGTAGGTAAAGAAAAATAAATCTTTAGAAACTTTATTATCAAAATTGGTTTTGGCAGTTGAACCTGTATTTTACTATTATTACAATGTCTTTAGAGTAGTTGCTTTATTTTGCAAATATTGCCTTATAGATAACACCTTAATAAATACTTATATATGTTTGTATTTACTTATTCTACAGCACTATGATGAAATTGGGGACAGTTAAAATAAAACTAGTCAGTCTCAAATCTATGGGATTTGCTTGCTGCTATCCGCACATCAAGTCAGTAAAAGGATAGCATACTACTGTGCATTTTTCTTAACATTTTTATTTTGTTTTAGGATCATTTAACAGTACTGGTAGTGTTGGATTAAATTTAATTTGCATGGAGATAAACAGTAACTTAAGTGACTGGAACTGGAAACCAGTTGATGGATTCACTTTTAAATCTCGTATTTCAGTTTGAAGAGGAAATGTAAGGGTTGAATTAGAAAGCTGTAAACTCTTGATGAGAATTAGTGGTATAGAACAGAAGAAAACAAAACCTTCAGTTATTTTCCTTACAGTTAGGCTGAATGAAATAGTAAATCAACAATAGATTTGGATAGCATTCAAATCAACAGCTTTACCTAATAAAAGTTCTAACAGAGCACTGAGCATACCATTTGAAACAAATATGAAATAAATATGAAATATGAATTACTTTAAAAAGAACCATATGAGAAGCAAAACAGTAAAATCACCAAAATCGAGCAAAGGAAATTTGAACTGAAATGTATGATGGGCAATTAAGTACCTATTTTGACAATTCTAAGTGGTCAAGTTTTTAAAGTATGACACAGAAACCTTAACCTATCTATATATGAGTGATAAATGAGGCATTTTGTGTCATTACATTCCCATAAATCACCTTCTTTAACTGCTGATGGCTTTTATCAGCTCTAACCTTTTCAAGCTTCTATCAGAGTGCTAACATTTTCAACTTTGACACATACGCAGTTTACAAATTCTGCAGCTGATTAACTCTGGACAGAAGCTCATTGCCATCATTGTCTTCTTCAAGTTTGGTTACAGCTTCAGTGCCTCAAAAACTCACAGGCATCCTTCATATGCCAGAAAATACCACTTCACTTTGTTGGGCTGTGTTGAAAAGGATCCAAGACATTTCTCTTTTTGAAACAAGTAAATGAGAATATGCTTTCAAAAGTAGTCTTCTACAGAAAGACTGAAATATGTGTAATTTTCATTAATTTAAAACAAACAGTGCTTTCCAAATGAAGAGATAAAAGTAATATGATCAATTTTACACAACTTTATAATATAAACAAGCTTGGAATAAAAAAAAAATTGACTACACAAGAAATGTTGCTGTAAAAGTTTCTGATGTAAACAACACTGAAAAGTTGAAAAAATCTAATTATTGCAGTGTATTGTATATATAACATTAAAGAATATTGCAATTATAAACCGATCGTGATCATGGGCCCCTAAATAATTTTGTGAGATTCCTCTCTCAACTATTTTATGAATTTTAAAGATTATAAATTACAGTATCTTGAAACTATAAATTTCAGATTCAATTTCAGCATTTCAGCACTTAGAACATGAAATGAATTCAACCATGATATACTCAGAATACAATAAATGAAAGAGCAGAAAAAATAGAGGAAAAAATGTTTTATTCTGTGTAAGTAAACCTAGATTTCAAGGAACACTAGCTTCTTTTACTAGTTAGTAGGAACTAAAATTAAATTACTTATGTGCCTGACACATTCAAATTTTGCCACAAATAGATGATAAAATAGTTTATTAAAATCTCATCTAGGTGTTTGTCTTATAAAACATTTTACCTTACTGTACTATTCCAACAATACAAAACCAGCCATACAGTAGATCTTTCTGCCTTAGTAGCATCAAGATATAATAAGAATGGTACCAAAGCTTTAACCTAAACACTTGTATTTTTATTATTTTTAAAATTTAAAAATGTGCAGAATATAATTGCAGATGTATTTCATCGATTGAAACAGCAGTGAGTCATTCACTGAAATGAATTTCCAAGATATAATTTATCTAGACACTGAAACAAAGCCCAGGTTTAAAGAGATAGTGTCTTTAATAACATTAGTCAGACTGAAATTTTTATGTTGGTTGTGTGACTACCGGAAGCCTGGTACTTCAGATAGTATTAGTTTTGATAAGAGCTAACTAGACATCAGACCTAAATAATGAAACATGAAGAGACAGGTTTGGAACATGTAAATAGGAATGTCTGCAGAGATTCTCATGCAGCTGATTGTCTCTTGTTGATAAACAACACATCTTAGAAAAACAGTAGATGAAGGAAAAATTTTTGCAGCATCACAACTAATTTAGTCTTGCAGTGTCAATATTTAAGGCCTATCCATAAAAAACTGAAAGTTCTTTATTTCACTAATAATGTCACACATCAGAGAAGCTGTGCAGTTACACTTTGACAATTCAGATGTATATCTTGGAACGTCTGTAAGTATTCATGACAAAGGCACAT